TCAGACATCTGTTCCTTGAGGAGGTGGAGAAGGCAGGTTGGGTAAAGCTTCCATCATAACAGGGAGGTGCAGGTAGAGAGGCTTGTGTGAGTCCAGATGGTGTTTGTTAGCACCTTTCCAAGCCCTGTCCTCAGGGTGCCAAGGTGGCTCCTCCCTTGGATTCACCTCAGTTCAGACTCCAAAAGCCCCCACCCTAACTGGGTGTTTGGCACCTCATGACTTGCAGTACCCAACACCAGCAGTGGCTGCACAGGTTCAGAAGGCACTCTAAGATCCAGGTGTGCTGCGCGTGGCTGCTAGGTGAGGCCGCCAATCCACGGCCAGGGCCATGCCACGGCCTGCCCAGGACACACACTCTGAGAGGGTGGCTCCAAACTACAGATCCCAGCATGCACCTGGGCAGAGCCCGGGCAGCGTTGCTCAGTAATGATGCCTAAACCGCACCCAGGATGGCTACAGGTGCCAGCACTGGCCCGTGCTCACAAATACAGCCAAAAATATGACAATTTATCATGTGCAGAGGATTCAGTTTATAACATGTGAGCCCACCTAAAGCTCCCATGCACAGCCGAAGAGCATTAGACATAGGCAGCAGATTCCAAGCTCACCCGGGTACACCTGCCCCCAAACATTTTTTTTCCCTCACCTCCACCCAGAGCTAACTCTCACGCTGAATTGAAATGAGACTAGGAAATGAGGGGGGCTCCCCCCCAGACCCAGCACAGAATTCCTGTTCCTCCCTGAACTCCTTGACCTCTCCATTTCATCCGATTCAAAGGAGTCCAGCCTTCCAGCTCTGGGAGAGGTGTTTCCCTTGTGTTGTGGTTTCTGATTGATTTTCTCACTTCCTGCTGCCAGCCACCCAATCTCTCCTGCCCTAAAAACCAAACCCTTCTGGAGGTGCCTCCATCTCCAACTCCTTTCCACAAGTTCTTTCTGGGATACACTTCCAGCCACTGATATGAAGTCCTCCTTGATCGTGGAGCAACCTGCTAACTGCAATGATAGGTTTCAGCTCTCACTCTCACAGTTAGCAATAGGAGACCCAACTGACTGCCTCTTGAGTGATACAGTGTCTTCCACCACAGCAGCTACTGGGAATAAAACTCGTATCTACTTTGTAGACACTTTGGTGCTTGCTTTGGAATTATTTACACCTTGGAAAGAGTAATTGCTAGTTTTCTTTATTCTAGATGTGATAGTTTATTAGCCTATAATTAATCAAGAAGACATCACTGAATTTAAGCTTTGGAAGCCAAGCTGTAAAGTGGATTTATGAAGTTCACATGTCTGTAGTACAACATATTTCTTTTATTTATCTGCCTTTGTCAAAAGGCAATTGAGAATAAAGGGAGGATATAGGGTTTCAATTCTTTGCATGACTGACATTCAAACTGCTTACCCGAATTTTTAAGTTTATTTAGTTATTGTGATGACTGGTCTGCAACTCCTGGGCATAAGGTAGCCTACTTTACTGTCTCAGCCTCTGGGGTAGCTGGGATTGCTGGATCATGGTGACAAGTACCCCACTACCCAATTTTAATGTGAACTTATAGAGAAAGAATACTTCTTATATATGCTGTTTAAGTAGTGATTGATTTTTCACCTTTTAGAGATTTGTCCCTGTATATTGTTGTGTATGTATCTTACATCTGCTTTTCTTGCTGTTCAAAGATGCCCTTGCAACTTTTTTTGACAGTCCAAAAATATTCCCCAAACTGAAATATTTAAAAAATATTTTAGGTTATTGCTTGCTAAGCTTTGGTGACTAAGTGTAGAAATCAAAGATGATAAGGTTTTAATTTGTTTTGATTGGTATGTAGATTTTGTGAAAGTCTGTAGGCCCCTTCCTTCCTTACCCAAGACTTCATGTAGTGCACACTCATCTTGAGCTCTCTATGCAGCACCAGAGGACCTTGCAGGCTTGATTATCTTGCCTCTACCTCCTAAGTGCTGGGTGACAACTGTGCCTCTCATTTTGCTGGGTTTTTGAGGAAGAGTCTTACTATGTTGCCCAGAGTGTCCTCAAACTTTGGCTATCTTCATGCTTTAGCCTCCTGAGTCCTGGAGTTACAGGTCGTCCAATATTGAGCTACTAGACCCCACTGATGGTCAAGTTTTTAATCAAGGTGTCACAGAGGAAGTATGGCAGTGACCTCCAGTCTAGCCAAAGACACTTAACTGTTGCACTCTGGAGCTTTACTATAGTTACTTAATTTGGGGGTTTCTTGTTAATCAACAGGAAAGCAAATACACTTTAAAAAAGTCAGGCAGTGGTGGTTCAAGCCTTTTGATTTAAGCACTGTGGAGACAGATGCAGGTAGATCTCTGAGTTGGAGGACAGCAAATGCTACAAAGAAAAACCCTGTCTCAAAAATTATATATATATATATGTATGTATATATAATATTTACTTAAAATTATGTGTATATATGTACATGCATATGCAAGTGCCCATGGAGATTAGGAGAAATTATCATCTCTAGGAGCTGTAGTTACACATGGTTGAGAGCCATCAGGGCTAGAGGGTAGAAATAGAACTCAAATCCTGTTGAAGAACAAGAAGTGCTCTTAACGTGAGCTATGATGCTAGCCTAACAGATGCACTATTAACAGTTATTCTGCAGATTATTATTATTGTTGTTGTTCTTTGATGCAGCTTTGGGCACTGAAACACGATCCACTAAACTCAACAAACCCACATGGAGTTTATTGGGAAAAGGAATGAAGGGCGGGGTAGTTGATAACCAATCAGGAGCAAAAATGGAAAGAGAGAGAACAGGCAGGAGGTACTTGCTCATAAATGGAAAGGGAATGGTTTAGAACAATGCTCAGCAATTTGGGATCTTGAAACTGGAGTCATGGAGCTGCCTTTGGCCCAACTCTTTGTGGACTCTGCATGCAGAGTTCTTATGTAGCCAATTAAAGCATGTACGATGCAGCCATGTGAACTTTGACAGCCTTTGAACTGTCATCGAGGAGCAGTCACCTGTCAAAGACAGATCCTGGGGTGAGGGAAGGTCACCTGGAGAAGAACAGATAAGATTGAACCCAGGGCCGAGAGGGAATGAGGATTAGAGAGGCCCCTAGACCAGGAAAGGCTCCCTAAGGAGAAGGCACAGGCCCTGGAGAGGACTGGTGTGGAGTGACAGGCGGGTGCTCAGGAGAAACCACCTGAGCAAGAGAAGGTGAGGACTCAGAAGCAGGAACAGGGCCAGGTTGCCCAAGACCTGGGTAGAGGGAGAAATCAGGAGATCAACAATTATTATTAGGCAGTACTACCTTTTCTGTGTGCTATTATTTCCTTTGTTACTTACAAAATATTTGTTTATAAAAAGTTATAAAGGACACTAACTATGGGTGTGGTGGCACAGGCAGTTCTCGGACTTTGAGGCCAGCTTGGTCTAGAGAATGATGTCCAGGACGGCCTGGGATTCACAGAGAAACCCTGTCTTGAAAAGCACAAAAGGCCACTGCAACAAACATGTTTTTAGTTATCACTCAAGATGATAAGTAAAACATCTCATGTATCCTTGTCCTCCTACATTTCAAGCATTACCTTAAGAGTTTTCTTTTGCGGGGTGTTGGTGGTGCACGCCTTTAATCCCAGCACTCGGAGGCAGAGGCAGGCGGATCTCTTGAGTTCAAGGCCAGCCTGGTCTACAGATCAAGTTCCAGGACAGCCTCCAAAACAATTCAGTGAAACCGTGTCTCAGAAAAAAAAAAAGGTTTCTTTTACATTTTTTTACCAGTGAAAAATGTCTACATTTTGTCTGTCATGTACAATAATTTGGGGATAGGTTTTTCTCTTTCCTGTCTGGTTAGCCTTATCCCTGTCAAGAAGTATTTCTGGTACAAATCTGTTATTAAACTTTAATAAGAAACATATGAGGCTTTCTCAGGCTGTTGGGTATTAGATTGAATTTGTGTAGAATCTGTGTTTGGTGGCAAGGTCTCACTACATATGTTTCAGTCTATCCTCAAACTCAATTGTCTGTGTAGGCTGGGTTTGAACTCTAATGCTGTCCTCCTGCCTCAGCCTCCTGAGTTACAGGGTACATGTGTGAGCCACCATGCCTGTTTTCGATGTTATTTCCAAGGAATCATTGCTGAAGTCAACATTGTCAGGCTTTTTATCCCTTGTTTTTCTTAGTTTAAGTATTAGGTCTTAGGTGCAAGTCTTTGGTCCACTTTGAGTTGATTTTTTGTCTTAGGTGAACATTTAACTTCAGTATTCAGTGTGGGAATACACACTTTTCCTAGCACCATTTGTTAAAAATACTGATCTTTTCATAGTGAATGGTTTTTGCACACTTACCTAAAATCATATGCCATATACGAGAGGGTTTGTTTGTGGCCATCTGTTCCACTGGTTAGGGTTAGGGGTCTGTCTGTCTGTCTATATCAGTCCCATGTAGTTTCGATTACTTTAAAGTCAAGAAGTGTGAGTCTTACAGGTTTGTTGGGTTTTTGTTTGTTTTTAGTATTTTGTTTTTGGTATCTTTGAAATGGACTCACAAAGCCTAGGCTACCCTGCAGAGTGTTGATCTTTCTGCCTTAGCTTCCCTAGTGTTGAGATTTGCCATAACTGGTTTCAGTAATGTTTTATAATTTCCATTTTTAAAAATCTTTTAACTGCCGGGCGGTGGTGGCGCACGCCTTTAATCCCAGCACTCAGGAGGCAGAGGCAGGCGGATCTCTGTGAGTTCGAGGCCAGGCTGGACCGATAGCCTCCAAAACAATACAGAGAAACCCTGTCTTGTAAAAACCAAAAAAAAAAAAAAATCTTTTAACTGCCTAAGTTAATAGCATTTATTCTTAATGCTATTTTAAATTGAATTAATTTTGAAATTTTCAGACTGTTTACTGCTAGTATATGTAAGTGTAATTGATTTTTACATGCTAATTTTAAATCTCATTATATGTGTGTATGACCTGTATGCCAGTACCATTATTCTCATGCCAGTAACATCAAATTATGATATTATATACACAGTTGATTGATGATTATCCTACTTTATTACATCTCTACCAGATAAATGAAAATACTGTTTTGAATACATACATGAAGTAGTTAATGTTTCTTATATACTCTTAAGCATTTTAAAATTAACATTTTTAAATGGTGTTGATAAAACAGTATACATTGGGTACAGTATATGATCTACCCTTAGACATGTATTCAAGAGGCAGACACATGAAGATCATTGAGCTCAAATGTAACCCTCAATCATTACTGAAATCCAAGTCAGACTGAATAACAAACAACAAAATCTCAAGGAAATTTCTAAAAATATGAAAAACAAAACCAGAAACAACAACCCACCACCCTTTCTCAGACATACTTACTTTAATTTACTTCCTTCAGGGCTACCATGAAAAAGAAATGGAGCAATATTTCTTTCCTTGAACATGAAGACAACTATGATGTCTAAAGTTTTTACCAAATCATTTTTCTCTTGTATGAGTTTGTCCCTATTTTCTGACTTCAAAATGGCATAAACAGGCTTTAAAATATTTACAGTGCCAGATATGTTCATTCCCAGGACCAAGGTATGATTATTGACAACTGGTACCAGAAGACCCAAGAGTCTATCATTCTCAGGAACCTGCATGTACATTCACATACCCACACAAACACACACTGACATCACATAATTAAAATTAAAATGATTCTTCAAACAAACATATTTTCACTCATGAAAGTTGTTCTTTGTTGAGGCACCTAACAGCTTACTTATAGAGATTTTTGTCACCATAAATTGGTTCATGTAGCAGAAAGCAAGCATATAGGTTTGAAGTCAGAGAAATCAATCCTTCTAAGTCGGTGATATCACTTGGGGGAAGATGTAGGAAATGTTGCAGTGTTGGAGGAAATATGTCACCAGGGGTAGGGTTTTGAGAATTTACATGTACACAACACTCCCAGTTCCCACTCTCTGCTTTATACAGTAGGTTAAGGATGTGAATTCTTAGCCTCCTGCTTTAACTGCCATCTCTGACACTTGTTGTCATGCCACTCTCATGGTGATCTGTATCCTTCTAGAACCAAGGATCAGATTAAACTCTTTTATAAGTTGACATAGACATTATATCACAACAACACAAAAGGAACTAATACAAATCCATGAAGTTTTATATCTGAATTAATTATTTCATATAATTGAAGTGTAAAATTCATAGTGTAAATGTTACAGTTCTGAGGTGAGGGGAGATAACATGTCAAAAGTCAAGCTATACCTTCAGTAGTGAAGGGACGATACCTACAACTATTAAGAGAAAGGTACTATGTTGGAAAGTCAGGCTATACCTGAAGCTGTGGAGGCAAGGTATCCTAGATACCTACAGCTCTGAAGAGAAAGGTACCCTGACTGTCAGAAGTCAGGCTATATCTATCCTGGTTACCTACAGCTGGGAGAAAGGAATCCTGATTGTAGGGAAGTCAGGTTATACCAGACTATGGAGGGAAGATATCCTGAATACCCAGCATTTTGAAGAAAAATGTATTATGACCGTCAGAAATCAGGATATACCCACAGCTGTTAAGGGAAGGTATTCTGGGTTTCGATCCACTCTGAAGTTTCCCAGAAGTGTCCATTGCATCTCTGTCCCACTCCACTAGAGAGTTTCCCGAGAAAGTTGTCCATTTCTTCTCAGTTATAGCCCAAATTGGTACTCTTCTGCTTCACTCAATTAAGGGGGAAACCACTATAGAAAGGTAGCAGTCTGTTCTGGCTCCAGCAAAAAGTTGTTACCTCTGTTTCACTCCCTAAGGGAGCATCCCAGCAGAGGTGTTCATTGCTTCCCTGCACCACTCCACTATGGAGTTTCTGCTCCAGACTGGTGAAAGAAAGTCTTCACCCCAAACTCTTATTTAAGAGATTTATTTTAGAGGGAGGAACCGAGGGGAGTGGCTGCCTCTGTCAAGGTGGAAAAGGGCTTCTGTCACTGAATAGGCACAGGGCTTTTATATAGGGCTTCTTATGGGCAGTTTTTCCTTGGAGATTTTCAGGGTGGGAATTGGTGGGATTTCAGTCACTGAGCTTAAAGAAGCTGAGAAATTGACTGTATTTCTTTATCAGGGAATGGTTGGTTTTGAGCTCAGGGATTCATTGGTTTTATGCTCAGTTTGTCAAGGGTAGAATGTGTTTCTTTGGTTCTGGTTTCAAGACCAAGGTGTTTCTTTCATTGGCTCTGGATTCAGGGACAAAGTGTTTTTCTTTGGCTCTAGTTTCAGGGTCAGGGTGTGCTTCTTTGGCTGCGGATTCAGGGCCAAAGTCTGTGTCCTTCGCTTGCTCTGATTTCAGGGTCACTGTGTTTCTTTGCTGGACTCTTTTACCCTACACATAGGGATTCATAAATTCACAAGTTCATTTTCCCCATGAGTTTGCTGGTGCAAATGGTGTTAAAACAGTCATCATAACACTTGAATAGATTGCTGACACTGTCAAATTCCTTTCTATAGAATAAACACTCTTGTTTAACCGAATGTGTGTTGGAAAAGATCTTACCAAATTCTTTATAATAAGGAGCCCTCAGCATCTTTTTCAGGTACTCAAAGACTAATGTAATATGCAAAGGCATTAACAGATTGATTTCACAAAAAAAGTTTTACTCATGTATAAACTGTAAAACTTTACCACACCAATTACATTTATATAGCTTCTCTGCAGGGTGATATTCTCTCAAGATTTCGGAGACTACTGACACATGCAAATACTTTAACACAGTGATTACACTCAGTGTTTCTCTCCTTTATGTGTTCTTTTATGACACTGAAAAATGCTGTGATATGCAAAGGCTTTACCACACTGATTACATTCATAGGGTTTCTCTCCAGTGTGTCCTTTCATGTATTTTCAGGCGACTGAGGCGTGCAAAGCCTTTACCACACTGATTGTATTCATAGGGTTTCTCTCTAGTATGTGTCATTTCATGCATTTTCAGACTACTCCGATGTGCAAAGGCTTTATCACACTGATTACATTCATAGGGTTTCTCTCCAGTATGGGTCCTTTCATGTATTTGCAGGTGACCGTGTTGTGCAAAGCCTTTACCACACTGATTGCATTCATAGGGTTTCTCTCCAGTGTGTTCTTTCATGTATTTTCAGGCGACTGGGGCGTGCAAAGCCTTTACCACACTGATTGCATTCATAGGGTTTCTCTCCAGTATGTGTCATTTCATGCATTTTCAGACTACTCCGATGTGCAAAGGCTTTATCACACTGATTACATTCATAGGGTTTCTCTCCAGTATGGGTCCTTTCATGTATTTGCAGGTGACCGTGTTGTGCAAAGCCTTTACCACACTGATTGCATTCATAGGGTTTCTCTCCAGTATGAATTATTTTATGCCTTTGAAGAGTAATGTGATATGCAAAGCCTTTACCACACTGATTACATTCATAGGGTTTCTCTCCAGTATGTGTCCTTTCATGCATTTGCAAACTACTGCGACGTGCAAAGGCTTTACCACACTGATTACATTCATAGGGTTTCTCTCCAGTATGTGTCCTTTCATGTTTTTGCAGAAGACTAGAACGTGCAAAGGCTTTACCACACTGATTACATTCATAAGGTTTCCATTCAGTATGTGTCATTTCATGCTTTTGCAGAAGATTAGAACGTGCAAAGGCTTTACCACACTGATTACATTCATAGGGTTTCTCTCCAGTATGTGTCCTTTTATGTTTTTGTAGAAGATTAGAACATGCAAAGGCTTTACCACACTGATTACACTCATAGGGTTTCTCTCCAGTATGTGTCCTTTCATGCATTTGCAGAATACTAGACCGTGCAAAGGCTTTACCACAATGATTACATTCAAAGGGTTTCTCTCCAGTATGTGTCCTTTCATGCATTTGCAGAATACTAGACCGTGCAAAGGTTTTACCACAATGATTGCATTTATAGGGTTTCTCTCCAGTGTGTGTCCTTTCATGCATGTGCAGAAGGCTAGAACGTGCAAAGGCTTTACCACACTGATTACATTCATAGGGTTTCTCTCCAGTATGTATTCTTTCGTGTATTTGCAGACTACTACGATGTGTAAAGGCTTTACCACACTGATTACATTCATAGGGTTTCTCTGCAGTATGTGTTCTTTCATGTCTTTGCAGATAACTGTGTTGTACAAAGACTTTACCACACTGATTGCATTCATAGGGTTTCTCTCCAGTATGAGTTATTTTATGTCTTTGAAGACTAATGTGATATGCAAAGACTTTACCACACTGATTACATTCATAGGGTTTCTCTCCAGTGTGAGTTCTTTCATGTCTTTGAAGGTGACTAGAACATGAAAAGGCTTTACCACACTGATTACATTCATAGGGTTTCTCTCCAGTATGTGTCCTTTCATGCATTTGCAGACCACTGCGTTGTGCAAAGGCTTTATCACACTGATTACATTCATAGGGTTTTTCTCCAGTGTGTGTTCTTACATGTATTTGCAGGTGACTGAGACGTGCAAAGCCTTTACAACACTGATTACATTCATAGGGTTTCTCTCCAGTGTGTGTCCTTTCATGCATTTGTAGACTACTGCGATGTGTAAAGGCTTTACCACACTGATTACATTCATAGGGTTTCCATCCAGTATGTGTTCTTTTATGTTTTTGCAGACTACTGTGACGTGCAAAGGCTTTACCACACTGATTACATTCATAGGGCTTCTCTCCAGTATGTGTTCTTTCATGTTTTTGCAGAAGACTAGAACGTGCAAAGGCTTTACCACACTGATTACATTCATAGGGTTTCCATCCAGTATGTGTCTTTTCATGCTTTTGCAGAAGACTAGACCGTACAAAGGATTTATCACACTGATTACATTCATAGGGTTTCTCTCCAGTGTGAGTTCTTTCATGTATTTGCAGGTGACTGAGGCATACAAAGCCTTTACCACACTGATTGCATTCATAGGGTTTCTCTCCAGTATGAGTTATTTTATGCCTTTGAAGTGTAATGTGATATGCAAAGACTTCACCACACTGGTTACATTCATAGGGTTTCTCTCCAGTATGAGTTGTTTCATGCCTTTGAAGATGGGCATCATATGCAAAGGCTTTAACACATTGAGTATAAACTGAAGGTTTCTCTCCAGTTTGACTTCTTTCATTCCTGCAATGATGATTGGCACATGTAAAAGCTTTATTACATTCAATGTGTTGTTGAATTTTTATATTTATATGAATTAATTTTACAGTTTGGTCCATTTGTAAAGAAGAATTAGATCTTTCGGTTCTATCACTGTGTTTACACTCATGTTGTCCCCTTCATTTAGGGTTGTTTTGCATCTTTGATGATACCCATTGTGGTAAGATCCTTTCTTACATGCTCACATTTACAGAATCTTTTTTCTATATGAAATTTTTCACATATTTAAATAGAACTGGAAAAACTCAGAGCTTTACCAACCTTATTGCATTTATAAGTTTTCCTATACTTTGAGTCATACTACATTTGCTAAGTGAACTAGGACAAACAGAAGTATTTACACAGTACTAGTACTCATAGGGCATTGTTGATATTTTAACAATGGATCTGGACAACCAACTAATTCTTCACTTGACTCAAATTAAACAAGTATACTCAATGTGGAGACTGAGGTATATCTTCTAACTGTCCTGAGAGAGACATGTTAACATTTTTCCATATCCCTGTGGTCACAGGGTTTGTACACAGAGAGACATACAATATACCTAGTAAGAGAAGAATAACAAATGGTTTCCACTTTGAATTCACATTTTGAGTTTCTGTTCCTTATAGATGTGTTATATAAGGATTAAGGTTTCTCCACAACAACTGCCCATTGACTCTTAATTCTAACTGCCCCTCACTAAGCTTAGCACAGTCACAAAAGGCATATTAGTAATACTAGCTTAACTATGGACTATTTGCTGATTAGAAGGTTTTGGAGATTTATTTATCACCTCTTTAATGCATATACCTTTTGTAATATGAATGGTATGAAACATATGGATTGAAAGTTCTACAGCATAGCTCTCATGCTGCTATAATTCAAATGATATCTGTTAAGGCATTGTTCCCTTATCTTCTTTCTTGAAAGAATGCCATGCAAATGCAATTCACCTACCTGAAATTGAGGTATATCATTTTGTGAGAATTTAATAATCATCCATGAACTTTAAGCTGTGCTTATTTATACTGTTGCTTTTGTTTTAAACTTCCAGGACATATTACAATTACTTCAGAGGCACATTTGTGTCATCTTGCACATGAAAATTACCTTTCATATCTTCTAGAACTTTGACAATATTCTTCAACATGATGGTCTTCCCAATTGTATCCTACAATGTAGTACCAGAAAATGTACGTTATATTATTGAAATTGTCCAAAATTTAAGTTACCATCTTCAGTGAACATTGGAGTCATGCCTAATTGATTCACTTCATTCTTCTTCTTTCTCAACCAAATTATAGAAGAACATCAACAACCAAGGAATAGATGCCCTTTATTTTAAACTGTGAAGAATAATTCAGTCTTACCTACAGTAGTGAGGTTCCTGTAGGTCTCTAGCATCACATCTTCATAGAGTTTCTTCTGAGAAGGATCCATTAAAGTCCACTCTTCCCAAGTGAAGTCAATATGTACATCATCATAGGTCACCACATTCTAAAATATCCCATGCATGTGTAAAACAGAAAACATGATGCCGACAACATTGTAAATGTATACTTCACTTCTTTGACAGTATAGTCATATAATTCTGGTGCTCCCCACACTTATTTGATGACATAGACATTATAATAATGTAATCACCAAGTCAATTTAGAAGGAAACTGTATAGGAGGTTCATCTCTGTTATTTCTGTACCCTTTGAATCAAATATCACCTTGGAAGAGCAATACCTATTAACAAACAGAGAGACAAGTAAATAGATCAACAGAACAAAGTACACATGAGAGAAATTGTATGAACAATTACTAACTACAAAAAGAAAAATAAGATGGACAAGCTGGGTGTATTGGCTCACACCTTTAACCCCATCACATAGAAGGCAGAGGTAGATATATTTACTTCTGAGTAGAATGTCAGCCTAGTCTATGCAACCAGGTCCAGGACAGCCACAAGAACATATTGAGACCCTGTTTTCTGTGCAAAAAATTGGTCAAACAAATCAAAAAGACAGAAAGCACTCAGAGGTTATATACTGAAGTTCCTACAAAGAATTATGCATCCACTCCAGTTCTGCATTCATTTTCCAGAAACCCAAAGTGCCCTAATTTAAACTGAAACATCAATAAAATTTCACTAAAAGGCACTGTGTGTTTAAACAGGTACTAATGAATAGATGAAAACATTAGCAATATAAAGGCTGATCATGAACAATCAACACAGGGCAGGAGAGATGGTTTATTAGTAAAGAGCTCTTGTTGGTCTTGCATATAGGTGGGCTCAATTACAAGTACTTACATGGGGGAATCACAACCATCCATTATACCAAGGTCAGGACTTCTGAGATCACTGTGAGGACCAGGTACCCATGTAGTGTATATCCATCCATACAGGTAAAATACTCACATTCATTAAAAAATTGAAAACAAACATGACAGGAAAGAAGAAAACCATGCACCTGCAATGACTCAGAAGACTCAGGCAGTATTAATGTAATCAATATAAACCATCCTGGGAAACAGAATGATATACTCTACCAAATTTTAAAATTCAAGATATGGGTGACAGTCACAAAAAGAGAAACATGGTATGTACTCACTCATATATGAATTTTAGACGTGAATCAAGGGAGTGCTAGCATACAATCCCACTGCCAGATAGTCTGGGAAAAAGAACCTTCATCCAATGACTGATGGAAGCAGAGACAGACATCCACAGCTAAATACTTAACTGAACTCTGGAATCCAGTGACAGAAAGGGAGGACTGATGAGCAAAGGGGTCAAGACTGGGCTGGTTTAACCCATAGAAACAGCTGACCTGAACAAGGGGGAGCTCTTGGACCCAAGACTGAGAGGACAGCATGGGACTGATCCAGACCCGCTGAATGTGGGTGTCAGTGAGGAGGCCTAGGCAATCTATGGAGCCTTGGGTAGTATTTATCCCTGGCATACAAATGGGCTTTGGGTGCCCATCCTACAATGAGGGATGCTCTCTCAGTCTGGACTCTTGGGGGGAGGGCCTAGGCCCTGCCCTGGATGAAAGGACAGACTCTGGAGATTCCCCATGGAGGGCCTCACCCTCCCTGGGGAGTGGAGTGGGGATTGGGAGGGAGGCTGGGGGGTCTGGTGGGGGGAGCAGGGGAGAAGGGGAGGGAGAGGGAGCTGGGACTGACATGTGAAACAAGCTTGTTTCTAATTTAAATTTTTAAAAATGAGAAAAAAAAGATATGGGCGAAACTCAGTACAACAACATATGCTTGACATGTACAAAAACCTACATTCCAGGCCCATCACCCAACAATACAAAAATAAAAATAGACAGGAATGTTGACCCACCTTTAATCACAGGACTTGGGACTGAGAGACAGAGGCATCAATAATTTTGAGGCCAGCTTGGTGTACAGAGCTACTTTCATGACAGCCAGAGCTACACAGACAAACCTTCTCTTCAAAAACAAACAAACAAAAAAAAAAAAAACTTAAAACATCAGGCTACTAAATTGCCTTATCACTGAATAGCAATCACTTCTACTGTGCCTTATGTGATTTAGAGACAGTCTATATGGGTGGTGAAGGCATGACAGCACAAGAAGGAAGCTGGCTGATTAGTTTGAAACACAACACAGTAGACACAAAGAACAGGAAATGGGATGAAGCTATAGAGACTGATATCACACTCCTAATGAGGAATTTCATCCAGAAAGGCTCCTCCTAAGAAAGGCTTCACAAGCAATCAAAAGAAAGTCACAAAGGAAAGACACGTGTTCAAATACATCATCCTATCTGGGAGGTTTTTCATGAAATCAACCATGAGGAAAATGCATTTAGTCAATTTATTGAGCCTCATAGTCTGAAATGGCCCCTACACTGTTCAAACTTCCAAAGTCTCTTCTGACACTCAAGGTAAGCTCTTGACTGTGAATGACATCTTGTAAAATCAGATAACAAGTTACATCTTTCCAACATGGCAAAGAATACCACTCACGTTTCAAAACAGAGAAATGAAGACACAATGAGGTAAGATTGGACCAAGGCAAGACTGAAGCACAGTAGGACAAACATTAAATCTTACATCTCTGTCTCAGATGCAGAGGGCTTCAGTAACAAAGGCCTCATCCCTGCCAATTCTCATACATCCCTCTTTGGTTACTTTCACCCCTTATATGCAACCAGGTCTTGACAGAAGTGTCATAGCTTATGGTCTCAAAATGCAACCCTCAATGTGGTGGAATATTATTTTAAGATGGGTTATATTTGTTTATGCTGTGGAACATTTGTTTTCATGATGCAAGTATGTGCTGCATTCTTTTATGTGACATTTGCTTAACTCTGTGAAGCTGTGATACTTTGTCTAAATACTTGACTGGTCTAAAAAAGAGCTGAACTGCCAGTAGGATGCCTGGAAAGGATAAGGCAGAGCAGGCAGGCAGAGTTAATAAATGGGAATAGATATCTGGGAGCAAAAAAGGAAGGAGGATCAAGAAAAGGAGAGGACACCAGGGGCCAACAACCCAGTTGCACAGCAAGTCTCAGAGCAAAAAGTAAAAAAGGGTATATAAAATGGAGAAAGACAGAATCCCAGAGGAAAAGGATAGATGGGATAATTTAAGGAAAGCTGGCTAGAAACAAGCCAAACTAAGACTGGGCATTTATAAGGAAGAATAAGCCTCTGTGTGTGACTTCTTTGAGAGCTGAGTGCCAGGCTCCCAAAAGAGCAAAGAAAAAACAAAAACAAAAAACAAACAAAAAAACACACCACCAGGCTTTCTCCTCACAGCTTCATGAAATGAACTCTCACAGTCCCACTCCAGGGGCTCTCTCAACAGATCAAGCCACATCACCCACATTCAGAGGGTCTAGTCTGGTTCCATGTAGGTTCCACAGCTGTCAGTCCAGAATCTGTGAGCTCTCATTAGCTCGGGTCAACTACCTCTGTGGTTTCCCAATAATGATCTGGATTCCCCTTCTCCCCTCAATATATTCCCTTCTCCCTCTCTTCAACTGAACTCCAGGAGCTCAGCCTAGTGCTTGGCTGTGGGTCACTGCATCTGATTGCATCAGTTACTGGAAGTAGGTTCTATGATTAAAGGGGAAAGCCAGTTCAGGCACCTCTCCACAGCTGCTAGGAGTCTTAGCTGGGGTCATCCTTGTGGATTCCTGAGAATTTCCCTAGCCACAAGTCTCCCTGACCCCATAATGGTTCCCTCTGTTAAAGTATCCCTTTCATTTCTCTCCACTACCACCCATTCCCCAACTCTGTCATCTCGAGCCATCATGATCCCATCCCCCATCCCCTCCCTTCTAACCCCCTCCTAGTTTATCCAAGACTCATTATCATTCTCCCCTTCCTGGGGCGTTCAATATATCCCTCTTAGGGTCCCCCTTTTTACCTAGCTTCGATGAGATTGTAGATTGTAGTATGCTAATACTTCAATTTGTAGCTAATATCCACTCATGAGTGAATATATACCATGTTGGTTCTGCTGGGTCTGGGTTACCTCACTTAGGATCTAGTTTCATCCATTTCCCTGAAGATTTCACAATGTCATTGTTTTTTGTTTTTTTTCTGTTGAGTTCTTTCCCTCTCCATTGTGTAAATGTAACACATTTTCCCTATCCATTCTTTGGTTGAGGGACATCTAGATTGTTTCCAGCTGAACAAATGCCCTTGTGGTATGAGTGTACATCCTTTGGGTATATGCCCAAGAGTAGTATTGATTGGTCTTGAGGTGGATTGAATCCCAATTTCCTGAGAAAATGCCAGAGATTTCCAAAGTGGATGTACAAGTTTGTAAATGGGCTACCTTGTTCACCCTTCACATAAGGGTTTGTACCTAGCTGTATTATACCTTGTTATGCTGTGTTTGATTGATATCCCTGGGATGCCTCCTCTTTTCTGAAGGGAAACAGATCTGGGATATGGGAGAATGGGGATTAGCAGGAACTGAAAGGAATGGAAGAAGAGGAGGCTGCAGTCAGGATGTGTTGTGTGAAAGAAGAATAAATGCAAAGTAAAAAATGAAAACATATTTAGTACAATGATCCACATAACCTGTAACAACCCAAACAGTGCAAATGTCCAATGTCTCTTCTGACACTCAAGATAGTCTCTGGACTGTCACATCTTGTAAAATCAAGAAAAAATTAAACATTTCAAACACAGGATATATTGCCAATCAGAAAAAGAAGAATATAACTGTGTTTCAGCCCCCAACTCAGGCAGACATCCCCTGCTCATGTGCATGTCACACCAGCCAGAAGAACAGGTAGGCAGGCCACCAGCACATGAAACTATACTCCTACATTCCCACAGACACATTCCCCCCAACCCTACAGCCACCACCCCCAAAGCCATGTCCCTATCCCCAAATCAAATGGATACCCTCTGCTCAAGTGCAGACCACAACAGTCAGAAGATAAAGTAAGCAAACTGAGTCCAAGATACTCTGATGGACCAGAGGTCATGCCAGCCATCAGAAACTGTCTCTCCACAGACT